AAGCCTGTAAATTGCTGTTTGGGTCATCCCTTGTTGCTGTGCTGCAAACACAGACACATCCTGTGGCTGGTTCCAGATTAGCCCCTCGCTGGTGTTTGGAGCTTTCTCACAGTGAGGGTCTCTGCTTTGAGTTCACACACATAGGAACAGCTGATGAATGCCGTAATGAGTTGCAGTGAGGTCTCACACACATACATCACACTCAGATTCAGATGGTGACGGTGAATCAGAGGATAATCTGTGCGAGGTGAAAGTCTTTGAGTGTTTGTGTGTGTGTGTGGGTTGTAATGATCGGTCAGAGAGGATGTCCTGCACTTCAAACTCTGACCAGACTGAGTATAAAGGGGAAACCCTGTGAGTGTGGCACTCTTTCATCTGTCTCTGCCCTCTCTCCATCCCTCCATCTGCTGTGAATCCAACAGTGTAGAAAAAGGGAGAGGAGTGGTTTGAGTTTTTTAAAAAGAAACCCAGAAGCTCCCTTGAGAGGAGTCAAGAGGGGTTTGTGTATGTGACTCACATACACATACACTCCAGTGTTTGAGATTTAATGCCGGGATTTAGGAGTAAAACCCTTCAACATCACATCTTTCACTGTTTGCCATGCATGCAGTCATTCTGTGGTATGAATTGATATTTTCTATGAGAAATTCATTTGTGGCAGACTTGTTTATGTGTATGTTTTCAGCTTGGTATACATGGCATAGTTAATTTAAGTGCTTTAGTGAAATTCTCATAGAAGCACCCACATAGTGTTGGAAGAGTTACCTTAAAAATGTATTGCGGTACAGATTAGCAGGGGTAGACAGATCTAAAAATTTATACTGGGCAGTCAAGCCACCAGGCTGCTGAATTTTGAGGGCCAGGATTGAATATACACTGTATTTAGAATCAACAAGCCAAAAGATTTTGTTTTAAACATGGCAGTTCTGCTAGCACAGGCACAGACCTAGACTTAGCTTACAGAAAAAGCATAGGGCCTATCATCAGTTCATATGAAACTCACCTTGGAACAGCCTTGTCATTGGAGTTTTCATGATATCAGTCAAGCGAAGAGATGTGAAGAGATCCTCCTTTTTCCTGATATAGTAAACAAATCTGAAGATTTTTATCATCCGATCATGCAGACCGACTCCCATTATTATCAGACTTCGATCAGTTGGCCCTGTTATTCTGTTCTCTCATAGCACTATAACTGCTGTCTGCCTGTCTTTTCCATTATACATCAGCTGTTATTCTTTTCAAAAACTTGCAGTAACTGAAATTGATACAAATAGATATACAGCATTTTAGAATAAAACCTGTCAGTTGACTTGTTTTTTCTGCAATAATCATTGTTGTCCATTTCTTTTACATTTTTTTACATTTTCACATGGCGTCATTTTAGCTATCACAGTTCTAGTGTTAATGTTGCAGTTGCCAAACTCTGAAAATCTAAAAAATCTGTCTAATTACTTTCTGCTCTTTTGGATTACTTGTCTTTTTAATTTTTTTATAATTAAATAAAGGCAAATTAAAACAAATTTCAACAAGACATCTTTAAACATAGTAAAGGAGAACTGTATTATTGAAATTGATATAAATTGATATGAAACAAAATGAAATATTATCAATGACATGACTGACTGCCAAACTATGCATCCTGACACAATGTGTTTGCTGTGCAAGAGTGATTTTAATAGATTCTTACAGTAATCTGTAATCTGATTACTGCCTTTTTCTGTAACTGTAATGAAATAGTTACCATATTTGTATCCCGATTACGTGATGCTGTTACAGCCAAGTCTGACCATATCAATCCAAAAGTGTCTTAATATGTGTTTTGTGAGTTCAGACCCATGTGCTCCATGTGGTTGTAGTTTGAGAAAAGACTGTATGACTGTGGAAGGAAAGAGAGCTTTGAGAACAGGGGCTCGAATTCTAGGGGGCTTTTGCTTTAAGATAGAAGGTGGTCCCAACTCCCCCTGGTAATATGGAATACTCATATGTCCTAGCAATATTTGGGCTATATAAGTTAACTAGGTTTTGATATTAAAGAAAAAGGTTAATTGAAAGTTTCATTATGGTTACTGGGCTCTGTCCTGCTTTTAATCCACGTTAGATCTCCTCTAAGCACATGACTTTCCATCTGCACTGTTTAAACACTGGAGGTATTCCCTTTACGTTCAGCCACTCTTACACAGTCTTATCTCTGTATGAAGCTCACAGGAATCACTTATCCACCACTCGCTGAATCCCGACGGACCGTCCGTCCTCTTTTCTCCTTCCTCCCTCCCTCCTTTCCTCCTGCTCCCTCCATCTCTGTATTTATTCATTTAGCATAGTCCTGTTTATGGTTTACTTTGAAGAGGTGGAGGGGAGTAGAAGGGGACAGGGCTGGAGCGTTACGCCTGGCTGCTCAGGGCCTGCACTGCTGGCATTATGCTGATTGCTTTCTCTACAGCCTCGCCTCTGGCTTTGATGTAACGTTATGGTGAGAGGAGGAGGCAACAGAGGAGAGCAGGAAGGAGGTATGGGCAAAAAAGAGAAATGGGAAAAGTTGGTTTCTTTTAAAGAAGGAGTGACACAGAAAAAGCTAACAGAAGGGGTTTAAGGGAAGAAGAGGGCTGAGACAGAAAAATATCATTAAGATTGTAACGACCAATGAGAAGTTCATGTACTCATGTTGGTCCGTGTAAAGCCACACAAACGTTATGGCCATTACCAGCATAACATAGTGTCAGAAATTGAAAAGAAAGAACAAAGAGCAAATCTGATCTGATTCTGTAACAAAGTTGCCTAATAGTAGTGCAACATGATGTAAAGTAGGTCATGCAATGACAACAGCAACATGTAGTCATCGCAAGTGCAAAGAGCTACACTGAAAAATACTTTGAATTTATGCGATACATGTGAACACAGTCATATGCAAAAGTTTGTACACCCCCAGTCAAAAGATATTTTGTTGTTTTTCTATAGGGAACAAACTTAAATATGACATTTTCATGGAAATTTCAGTGTACAATTTTCAATTTATTTTCTGAGTTTAACATATTGGGAAAAAAAATATAACAAAAATATATAAAATATTCCATAACCTTTGCACATTTTATGTTTTTTTTTTGTTTTTTTTTACAATATGTTAAATTCAATAAATAAATAGTAATTGTGAATTAAATTGTGCAGAGGCGTTTTCTCTTATTTTCACTTAAAAAAATCAACATTACTCACTGACAGTGCAGAATAAAGTCTTGTTAGACTATATATACTTTGCACATACACCAACTCACGAACAGTATAGATTGTTGCACTGTGCAACTGTGATACACGAGCATATTTAGCTTTGAAGCATTAAACTGTTAACATCTGTAAACAATTTGTACATTTTTATCTCAGTCTTAATATTAGTTTTATTTATTTTATGTGTTAACGTGATCTTTTATTTATCTTTCTATTTTGTTTTTGTATTTGTAACTTTGCAGTGTCAGTGAGACCGTACAAACTAAGAATTTCATTGACTAACTGCTTGTGCATATGACATTAAAGCTCTTGAATCTTAAAAAATGTCATCTGACCAGGGGTGTGCAGACTTTTGCATACGATTGTGTAAATAAATAAACACCAATCAGGCATAACATTATGACCACCTCATTGTTTCTACGCTCATTGTCCATTTTATCAGCTCCACTTGCTATATAGGTGCACTTTGTAGATCTACAATTACAGACTGTAGTCCATCTGTTTCTCTGCATACTTTGTTAGCCCCCTTTTACCCTGTTCTTCAGTGGTCAGGACGCCCATGGCCCCTCACAGAGCAGGTACTATTTGGGTGGCGGATCATTCTCAGCACTGCAGTAACACTGACATGGTGATGGGGTGTTAGTGTGTGCTGTGCTGGTACGAGTGGATCAGACACAGCAGTGCTGCTGGAGTTTTTAAAACACTGTGTCCACTCACTGCTCACTCTATTAGACATTCCCACCTTGTCAGTCCACCTTGTAGATGTCAAGTCAGAGATGATAGCTCATCTGCTGCTGCACAGTTTGTGTTGGTCATCCTCTAATCCTTCATCAGTGGTCACAGGACGTTCCCACAGGACTCTGTTGGCTGGTTATTTTTGGTTGGTGGACTATTCTCAGTCCAGCAGTGACACTGAGGTGTTTAAAACTCCAGCAGCAGTGCTGTGTCTGATCTACTCAGACCAGCGCAACACACTAACACACCACCACCACGTCAGTGTTACTGCAGTGCTGAGAATGATTCACCACCCAAATAGGCCCTGCTCTGTGAGGGTCCATGGGGGGTCCTGACCACTGAAGGGTAAAAGGGGGCTAACAAAGTATGCAGAGAAACAGATGGACTACAGTCTGTAATTGTAGAACTACAAAGTGCACCTATATAGTAAGTGGAGCTGATAAAATGGACAATGATCGTAGAAACAGGAAGTGGTCATAATGTTATGCCTGATCGGTGTATTACATCTGCACAGTTTTGGCAGTTTTGGTGAAAAGAGGTAAACTGTAAGACAGTAGTTATGGTGAGTTATAATACTCATATGCAACCAACTGACACCTTTCAGTCATAAATTCACACTAATTCACAAATGAAAGTGGAGGAGCTGGTGAGTGAAAAACTTTACAGACAATATAAAAGTCTGGAAATGTTGTGCACTTTCTTTCTTTGTCCACGTACAGCATTAATGTCACTGTTCTTATTACATAACTTTTGCATCGTCTTCATTATGATTATGTCCTAAACTGATCTCTGTCATCATGTGTGTTACAAATGCATGTTAATGATTGTGTGTAAATATTTCACATCAGTGAGACACTACATTGGCTCTTTTCTCCTTAATTGTGTCGACGGAAAGAGTTTGAAAAGGTCACATCTATCTTGCTGACGGGACATTTGACTGCACTTAATTTGCTGTGGCATTTCATTTCACATTGCCTTGTGAGCTCTTTAATCTCATGTTCTCTCTCTCTCTCTCTCTCTCTCTCTCTCTCTCTCTCCGTTTCCCACAGTTGTTGTGTTGTACACACAAGGCATAGGTACAAAAGAATGGAGAGAGGTGAGTCTGAATATTTGTTCCTTTTTAGGCCAACTATTATATTTCATAGAATAACTGTTTTATATGGATGGAGTTCACTAGTCTGCTGCTTTATTCTCAGTTTTATCAGTATAAAGTGTAGGGAAGCGTGGGCCACGACCTAAAGTAAGCTAAAATGTAACACTGATGTTTTATGTAGTTAGACAGAACATGCTTCTGGTTGCTTTCTTCTATTCCCATAGCAACGTCTTCTGCACATTTTCTTGAGATTCATGCTGTCATGAAAGTAGAGCTGGGCACTATGATGATATTTTATCTTTATCATGATTAATTATGTCACAACATGAGTTCTTTAACATATCTTTGATATTATCAGTACTTATAAAACAGTGATTGACTATATGTTTCATTACAAAGTGAGCATAGTTAGTCCTGTTTAATAGATTTTAATGCAGCATAGTTTGTTAAATAAAAATCATTGTAGTTCATTATCATTTATTATCATTTCTATGGTATTTTTTATGCAGTACTACAGGTTCTATTTTGTCTAATACATCTCACAAAAATAAAATATTGTGATGCACATTGGGTATCGTAAAAATGTCGTGGAGTATCTTGATATAATCTTTTTGCCATATCGCCCACCTCTATATGAAAATTATTTTTTTTTATAATAACTGTTTCACAATTACTGAATTGTGTGTAAGAACATTGCCAAGAATTCACACCTATATTATTTTGCTCTTGGTGGCTGTAATAAAGCATCATTTTAAAGCATATAAACACACTTAAAGCAAGCCAGACTAAATTACAGCCTCCACATAACTTTATTTAGCAAACCAAGCTGTGTTAGTATGTGCCCTGCTCTCCCGGCCACCAACTTTTGCTTGAAATACAGTCCATGTTCCTGTGACTTGTAATAATAACTGGGTTGAAATAGGATGTGATGCCTTTATTTAAATGGAAATGCAGTGACAGTCTCGGACAGTGAGAGTGTCCTTCCAGCTACTGCCTTTGATAGGGTTTCAGGAGTCAAGTTTCTTATGAGAAAATGAATCACAGTGTGCACCCCTAATGGACACCTAGAGGAAGTGGTTTGAGATGAGCTGCCTGAGAAATCAAAGATGCTGATTTTACAGTTGTCTCGTCTTTATTGGAGCCGCACAAGAGGAGAGAGAATAGCTGAGATCGTGTTAACGGTGTTATCGCTCTATCTCTCACACTCGCACACACACACATTGGGTTCTTGCGTTTAATTTGCGCTTTGTGTGACTATCAAAGGCTCTCTGTGGAGAAACCTGCAGGGTGTCAGTCAGTCTGACTGAGTCTCAGTCACTACATCAGCGTATACAACACCTCACTGTCATCAATACACTGATAGATCGAAGAGCTCTTAACACGCACGACTGTTCACACACTCACAGTGTTGTGGTTAGTAAGTGTTAGAAATGTGTATTTTATAATGTAAAATAAAAACAAAAATAAGTATCGTGTTAGAGCAGAGCAGAGCCTGACATGAGAGAAAAATGTAGCATATATATCTCATATAGTTTAATATGCTCATATGCTTTTTGAGAAGTGCATACTTCTCTATATTCATTCAAAAAAGTTAATTTCCTCAGTTTCTTTGGAGGTTTTATGCATAGATTCATCAAAGATGGGCAACTAATGTCATTTTTATAAAATATATTTAAAGTTAACAGTGCTGATATTTGTTGTTTCTTTTTATGGTCAAAAATAAATTTACCACAGTTGATGAAGCCTGTTTTACTTTAATCATATGTATTTTGATAAACATATTTTTTACATATTTGGGACGGAAAGCCAGTCTGGTTCCAACAACATAGAATTGTGTTGAATTAATTGTGTTTGCATTGATCAAACTTTTTGCTTTTTTTTAATGAGCCATTCAGTCTGTTACAATTAACCTGCCTGTGGGGTAAGTTGTAACATTTGTAGTCACACTGAGTGGTGCTGGAATTTTCATTTGTACCAGAGATGTGGAAGTTATTTACATAAAAATGAATAATCTTATTCAAATACTTAAAATTATTTACCAAAAACAAAATGTTTTAGGATGCTCTCTAATGTAGTCAATTGCTTGGTTACTTTTTCAAATGTGCAAGCCATAACTTTTATTGTTGTTTCTCTTTTTAATATTTTTTATTGTTATTTCCCTCTTCTTGTTAGGACATTTGATTTTTAAATTACACAATAACAAAGTTGAAGTTTACAAATTCTCTAGTGTAGCTTTGCTATATTTTTGTGCATCACTAGTAGTGTCACCTAAAATCGTACAAGTTTGTATGTTACATTATTTTCGGCTAAAGTTGATTTTCATGTTTGTTTGTGGTTAATGTCTGTTCGTGAATTCTTATTGATAATCGAATATCAAAATAAGTCAGAATGCACATCCTTAATATTTACTCAACTAACATAAGGTGTGCGCATGTCAGCTAATGAAGCTAATAGCAAGATGCCAGAAACGACAGCCTTCGCAAAATCTTCACATAACTTTGACTTTGTTTTTGAAATGTCAAGAAAATTACACTTATATGAAATGATGTCCAGGTGATAACTGTCTGTCAACTTCAAAGAACTTTATTTTTAGTTTATAAAAGTGCCTACACTCTTAGAAAAAGGTACAAAATTGTCCCTGGGGCAGTACCCCTCTTGTCACTGGGGTGGTATGTTCAGTGGTACATCTTAGTACCTTTAATCAGGGAACATAATTTTACCATAATCCATTGAAATTATATTTTCTAAGTTGTATTGTCTCCGTACACCCCGTCTCGTCTCCAGGCTTTTTATTTTATTGTTCTGTTTTAAAACATTAGGTTATGAAAGAGCAACATATTTAGGGTACACAGTTAGTTCTTAAAACCACTGTTGTACCTTTGAGGGCATATTTACATTGATTGTACCTTAATGAACAAAAAATGTACAGGCCACACACAGCTCTGTAGCTCTGTTCACCTGTGAGGTGATAGCACTACTTTCGCAAAATTCCAAGCATTGCAAAAGGGGTTTCCATTCCTCAAATATGTTACTTTCCTCACTAGAAGGTCCTAAACTGGGCTTACATGATTTGTATGTGTACATAAATTGCTCATGATTGAAATGTATTACATCAAAACAGTTATTTCCAAAGGAGGTAAAGTGCATCAAGTAAATTCAAAGCATTTTTTCAGTTGAACGCTCCTTATTTGTCTGATTAAGAGCAGAGCCTGACATGAGGGAAAAATGTAGCTTATATATCTCATATAGTTTAATATGCTCATATGCTTTTTGAGAAGTGCATACTTCTCTATATTCATTCAAACAAGTTAATTTCCTCAGTTTCTTTGGAGGCTTTATGCATAGATTCATCAAAGATGGGCAACTAATGTCATATTTATAAAATATATTTAAAGTTAACAGTGCTGATATTTGTTGTTTCTTTTTATGGTCAAAAATAAATTTACCACAGTTGATGAAGCCTGTTTTACTTTAATCATATGTATTTTGATAAACATATTTTTTACATATTTGGGACGGAAAGCCAGTCTGGTTCCAACAACATAGAATTGTGTTGAATTAATTGTGTTTGCATTGATCAAACCTTTTGCTTTTTTTTAATGAGCCATTCAGTCTGTTACAATTAACCTGCCTGTGGGGTAAGTTGTAACATTTGTAGTCACACTGAGTGGTGCTGGAATTTTCATTTGTACCAGAGATGTGGAAGTTATTTACATAAAAATGAATAATCTTATTCAAATACTTAAAATTATTTACCAAAAACAAAAATGTTTTAGGATGCTCTCTAATGTAGTCAATTGCTTGGTTACTTTTTCAAATGTGCAAGCCATAACTTTTATTGTTGTTTCTCTTTTTAATATTTTTTATTGTTATTTCCCTCTTCTTGTTAGGACATTTGATTTTTAAATTACACAATAACAAAGTTGAAGTTTACAAATTCTCTAGTGTAGCTTTGCTATATTTTTGTGCATCACTAGTAGTGTCACCTAAAATCGTACAAGTTTGTATGTTACATTATTTTCGGCTAAAGTTGATTTTCATGTTTGTTTGTGGTTAATGTCTGTTCGTGAATTCTTATTGATAATCGAATATCAAAATAAGTCAGAATGCACATCCTTAATATTTACTCAACTAACATAAGGTGTGCGCATGTCAGCTAATGAAGCTAATAGCAAGATGCCAGAAACGACAGCCTTCGCAAAATCTTCACATAACTTTGACTTTGTTTTTGAAATGTCAAGAAAATTACACTTATATGAAATGATGTCCAGGTGATAACTGTCTGTCAACTTCAAAGAACTTTATTTTTAGTTTATAAAAGTGCCTACACTCTTAGAAAAAGGTACAAAATTTGTCCCTGGGGCAGTACCCCTCTTGTCACTGGGGTGGTATGTTCAGTGGTACATCTTAGTACCTTTAATCAGGGAACATAATTTTACCATAATCCATTGAAATTATATTTTCTAAGTTGTATTGTCTCCGTACACCCCGTCTCGTCTCCAGGCTTTTTATTTTATTGTTCTGTTTTAAAACATTAGGTTATGAAAGAGCAACATATTTAGGGTACACAGTTAGTTCTTAAAACCACTGTTGTACCTTTGAGGGCATATTTACATTGATTGTACCTTAATGAACAAAAAATGTACAGGCCACACACAGCTCTGTAGCTCTGTTCACCTGTGAGGTGATAGCACTACTTTCGCAAAATTCCAAGCATTGCAAAAGGGGTTTCCATTCCTCAAATATGTTACTTTCCTCACTAGAAGGTCCTAAACTGGGCTTACATGATTTGTATGTGTACATAAATTGCTCATGATTGAAATGTATTACATCAAAACAGTTATTTCCAAAGGAGGTAAAGTGCATCAAGTAAATTCAAAGCATTTTTTCAGTTGAACGCTCCTTATTTGTCTGATTAGCTAATTGCCGGCTTCAGAATAATGTGGATTTAAGAAGTAATACGTTTGTGAAACCTCAAGCAGAATGAAAAACTCAGCACTTCCATATTTTTACTTTTTGGGAACTGGACTGAATGAAAGGGAAAGTCTTTATTTTGGCTGCCAGATCGGAGAGCTGTCAGTGTTCTCCCACATCGCGTGCTTGCCAGAATGGAGCACAGCCTGGACTGTCCCATATGTTTCAGCCCCCCTGTCTTCTCTAAATCCACAAACCCTCAGGGCATGATACGAGTCTGTGTCAGCGAGTTACGGGGATAGCCTGCAAATGTTTGTGTATTTGCAGTCGTGAATATCTCTCCCATAAACACAAACACACTCTGGAGCAGTGGAGGAGCGAACAAACCAGCTAGCAAGGCAGACTCTTTCTGAGGCCTCAAATTGTAAATGTAAGAGCTGCCAAATTGACCAATTTTTCCATTTAACCCTCTTTGTAAATGCCACTCAAGCACCAACTGTTCCGGCTTTGGGCAGATCATCTGTTGGCCTTACCGTTTTTAGACCCAGCAACGTGATTTCACACAAGAGGGTTGTACAAACTTTGGGAAAGCACACTCTCGGTATGCAAAAAATGTGTCAAGAGCCCTGTAAAAACTTTTTAGGCATGGATATGAAAGGCTTTTGATGCTAATCTCTGGCTGAAGTGTCTTGCTGAGGCGCACGAGTCCTTCGTGTCCATCATTGGTTGGATCGAGAGCCATTGTTAGCCCAGCTCAAACATACCTGACAGCATTACCCTCCCAGTGCTGAGGGTTACCATAGTGGCTGTAACCTAGTTCCACAGAACATTGCAATAGCAATGATGTGTGGGTTTCATTTTTTTGCCACTTCTAAAGGCAGGATAAAATAGCATTTTTTTCCGTCCTTCGGAATGCATTTTCTTTAGCTCTCTGGCTCCTCCTGGGCAAGGCAGCCATTCAGTATGTTACTTTGTTCCTCTTTAATTGTGTCGCTTGCTAGCAAAACGAGAAATTTGAATTTTATGTCTCTCTTTATTCATGTGTTCCTCTTAAACTACATTTTACATAGATCCATCTTCCCCACAAGTGATTATACACTACTTAGATCTACATCACCCCAGGTCATTTTTTTATTAAAAAAGGTCAGATCATACCAGATTAAATTTGAAAGGTTACTCTCAAAAGTACAGAATATAGTTTAGATTTACTTTCCATCACTCACTAGTGCAGTTCAGGGTGTGTTCCTGTACTTCATTACTTTCTCTCTAGAATGTTGTTAGCAAGCAAATGAGAATGATGCAACTGCGAGTCAGGCTTTCCCCCATTGTCTCTGTGTCACACACACTCTCACACACACAAACAGCCACCTGCCAATGTCTGCTTAATGAATCTGACACTAAAGTGTCCTCTACGTATGAAATGAGGAGCATGGAAGTATTAATAGGAGCTCTAGAGTGAATGAAATACATCTAATTGCAGTGAGGGTACCTTTATCTCCCCATGGAACATCACATTTTCTTTCCAGAGGTGGCTGCTGGCACAGAGAGCTAGCCTGCTGTGACCCTGCTTCTGCCTGCCAGCCTGTACCCTACAGGAGGTACAGAAAAGGCAAGCATGTACCTGTTTGTTAGGGGTCCAAGCACTTTTTATAGAGGTTGATAGATAGGCCTGCATGGTGAGCAGTGTTAACCATGACTATTGCAGGCCTTCAGTTTGGGTCATGACAATGTCAAAACAGTAAAACAACAGTACACAGCATCACAAAGTCAGCTTAAATGTGTAAGATGTCTGTTGTTAAATGCAACTATAAAAGCAAGAACAACTTAAAGGATGAAAATAAAAAAGCTGAATAAAAGTACGACCCTACTAACATGTTTGGGAGTCAGTGAAGTGTCATTACATGACAGTGTTTAATATGAAAATATTTTAATTTGCTTTGTAAATAGCCTTAATTTATTTAAATACCACTGCTATAATCAATGCTAACTTTCTACTAGTGCCCCCTGTGCAGTTTGTTATGTGATGTTACCAGTAATGCACACAACCATTTTATGATGGCTCTAATTTCACTTTTACTTAAAGCTTGTAGCACACATTAACATAAATGGTTGTTGTGAAAACAAAACCTTTTTTAACATCATTTGAAAATGCAAGCTGTCCTTTTCATTGTATGAAATGGACCTGTAGAAATGGCCCAAAAGACTTTATAAAATCACATTTCAACTTTTTACATTACATTCAATTATAAGAATGTTTTTCCTTCTCCTGAAAAGTTACAATTTTTTGAGAGATTTTTGGAGGTTCTGATTTCATAGCAATGATATGTATGTTGCAGTTTTACAATGACTTTCAGTGGAGAGCCCTGACATAGAGCTGCTACCTTTATTTTCAGTATTTACCAACTGAAAAACCTGCTTGTATTCATATAGTGATGTATCTGAGTCTTCCAAATGACCTGAAGTGACTTTTTTTTCTCACAAACTTGGTCCCACAAACAGGAAATCATGATTGGTTGATTCCTCTGTCACTTCCTTATCATGGTGGTAGTTAATCTAACATGTAAGGCCTTGAGTCCAGTTCGTGTATGCTTAACCATTGGGGGAGCTAGCTTAAATAAACTAGCTTTTTCTACGTAGAAGAAAAAAAAATCCTGATTTAAAATGAATTCCACTGATTTTTAAAAAAATTCTACTCACAGAGTCAGAGCTGTTCACAATGGTGGTGATAGGAACCAGACGTCTTAAGTATTTATACCTCTATAAGCTACTCACAGAAAGTTATTACATGAAATGGATATGAATACACTTCATGGAATGTGAGACATTGTTTTATGACATGCAGGGCATTGTAGGGCTATGTTTATCAGATTTTTGCCTATTTTACTATTATCAGCAGTACATGTTAAAACTTGCAGTTTGTAGGTTCACTGTCATTCTGAACAGTAAGTACATTGCCTGTATTTTCCATTGTAGTCAACCATTTTTGTTTCCAACCAAAACTTATCAATGAAATAAAAGTACTACAATACAAATCAAACATAATGATTCTATGAAATAAAAATGAAGTAAAAGTGATAGACATATCCTTTTTAGTTCCCAGGAATTGTTAAGCCCTCTGTGATGGCATAGAAGGCCCTGAGAGTGCCCTTCTGGTAGGAGTAATTTGGGAAGAGAAAGGGGATACTGGGGAAAAGGTGTTTGATCCCAGTGTCTTCTATTACTCTGTAGATTTCCAGCTGTTTCTGTGAATTCCCTTCGAGCAGATGCAATGAGATGAAAAAATGCAGACACCTTCAGTTGGCAGCCTCAAAAGAAGGCTGCAGTTTGATAGCTAATATCATGTGCTGCGCCTGGGTACTTTTGGGCATTTGCGCTGCTGAAAACAAAGACGTTAAATGAAAAATGTAGACATTAAATAAATAACTAAAATCCATGTGTATTGTTCAAAGCAGTTTCACCTTATCGTGGTACATCAAAGCTACCTCTGATCCAGTATAATCATACTATTCGCTTGCTGCTGGATACCGTTACCTATTCCAGCAAGCTTCATAGACCAGATGGTCCACGATATTGCACTACAGTTGCTAATAGCATACAGTAACTTACTCTGAAACTCTCTCAGATTCTACAGTCTCCATGATTTAAATGTAAACCTCAGAGAAACTGATGGGACTAAAGGATATAGCAGATATTGTGAAGAGAAAAGTTGGATGTGTAATCTGCAGTTTAAGCCTGTAGGACAATGTGATTGATAGGTGGGCTCTGAAGCTGTAGGGGGTTTAGGTGTTCTCAGGTATAGCTGGCGATCGATAGCTCATCACTGCCTCATAAACAGCAGGCAGCCCATTGGCTGATGAAAATAGGAGATCTGTGCTCACAGTTAGCATGGTGATGAAGTAAGAGACAGACTGAAAAGTTTCAGTAACTCTGTGGTGAAATAATTTACTGCAGAAGAATCAGAGTAGAGTCACAATGTACTGTAGCTAAGATTTGTGAATTATAGATATGAAATGATACAACAAAATCTGATCTTTCTTTTTCTGATTCTCTCTGATTTGTCTTCATCTTCTCTAGTTTGGCAGAACAGAGGTGATTGAAAACACGCTGAATCCGGACTTTGTGCGGAAGTTCGTTCTGGATTTCTTCTTTGAGGAGAAGCAGAATCTTCGGTTTGATGTGTGAGTTCATGTTTTGATCTGTTTCAGAAGTTTGAATGTTTTCAGGTACTTCTTTATTTCTGTGCTTTTTATATACACACACAAACTAAAGTGATGTTTCTGAATTTAGTTTATTCAAATATATATACATATATATATTCACATACATATACATATGTCCCACATTATTACATAAACACAGTTATTGGCAAAAGTAAGTAATCTTCTAGTTTATTCTTTTTATTTTGTACCATCTGTGTTGAAATTTCAAACGTAAATAATGTGAAAATAAGGTGTGGTACACGTGTACCAAAATGTCAGCATATTTACAGTACTGTGCAAAAGTCAGTGACCACTCTTTATTTATTTAATTTCCAGTCAAAACCACCATTAAGTACAAGGTATTTATTTTACATTTATTGTTTGTCAGAAAAGAATAAGAAAACATTACAGAAAATTACACTTTCACAGTGGAACGATGTGAATTTTTCAGATCTGAAGCAGGAGTGAAGCTTTAGGTGCTGTTTATCTGATAGTGTCAGTTTTGGTAGCCTGCCAGGTCTTGTATGGTTGTTAGAAGCCCCATCTTCTTTATATCTTGTAATAATGGAAAGTCATGTTTTTTCACTTATTTTCCTTTGACTTTTCTTTTCCTTATGCAAGTTGATTATCTTCTATGTAATCTCCTCAAAATTAATAACTTGTACTTAATGGCTGTTTTAACTGGAAATGAACTTTTGCATAGTACTGTTTGCGTAACTCGTCGAGTCAAACAGCCAGTTGCCTCAGTGTAGCACTTTATTTGATTCATGTTGTTTAAATAATTGACCAATTTTTCATTTACAAATTAAAAATGCCAGCTTGGCTCATTAAGGAGCAAGTAATGTTATTTTTATTGCAACTCTGGTTGATAGAAAATACTGGAAATGTTCTGCTGTCTTTCATGTGTTCGTTTAGCCCACACAGTGTGAACTTTGGATTAAAAAACAACAGGCTTACACAGATCTAACTTGGCAGTAAAGAGTTTAGCTGTAAGAAACTTTGAGTTGTCCAGCGCATCTCTAATAATTACAGCTAAAAATGCACAAAGAAGCAGAAATGGTCATTTACAGTATGAGTTGGTGGGTTATTTTGGTCAGTTTTTGAGCCTACACATTATTTCAAAAGGTTCTTTTCAAGTGAAACGCACAGACGCTTCCTCCCTCTCTCTCTCCATGCACCCTGGGGAGGTGATCGATGTCCTCTGTGGGGGTTTGGAGAAGCGCTCATGGTAGATCAGGTGGAACTTGGAGCAAACTCTTGCTCAGATCATTCACATAGATCAGAACCCGACAGCCGCCCCTATCCGCTCTCAGACAAACAGCATCTGTCTGTTCTTCTCAACCTCACGTCCTCCTCCTCTGTCATCCTTTCCCCATGCTTCTGTTGTGTCTCCTTACATTACCCCCTCTCTCTTTCCACCTCTCTGTTACTTGTTAGGTATATTTATATTTATAGGCCTGGGTACATTTCCTATTTGTTCTATATTTGTCCACTCCATTAGTGCTCTCTCTCTCTGTCTCTCTCTCCAAGCTGCGTGCAGTCCCCTTAGTTTCTCGCTCCTCTCTATCTCAAATCCTATTTCTATTTCCCCCCCACCTTCGCTTCAGTCTATTTCTTTCTCATTCTTTATTTTTCACACACCATAATCGATAGCAACTCTGACACAGCTCTCTTCCATTCGAGCACAAGGTAGTGTTTGCAGGCTGTGAGAGAAAAAAAAACAATGTAAGGAAGGGTTAGAGTTATGTCTGCAGAAGGGTAAAGCTGTCATTTTTTGCAGCTGTCTTCACAAGTCTGCCAAAGCCGTTATTGATTTGGTATTTTTGAAGCTTTTTTTCCCTTTTGCTTCCCTAATGTCACACAGCGCGGATCAGACAAAAGACTCTTTTTGGAGAACTAGCGTCGGTGTAATACAATCAGAGATAAACTTCGCAGATGCACTCTCCGTGTTTCTATTTAAATACGGCACTGCTTTATTCTCGAGGCGCGGATTTGATGCATGCGCCGTGTTTGTTTGAAAGAACGCCCACGTACCTGGCCTTGAGGTGCGGTCAGTGGGGAGCTCAGGTCCCCAGCCATCTGGATGTCAATAAACAGATGGAGCATGGCATCATCTGTCTCTTTAACCATGTGGGCAGGGGGTCTACTGTGTGCGTTTGAGAGAGAACGAACTTTAAAAGGAACCAGTGGAGCCCCTGAACATCTTAGTCATGTGCCATCGTTACAGTATGTACTGTTCTGTCCGTTTAAAAAGAAAACAAGCTTTGTCTATTGTTCAGTCATCATTCATATCCTTTGTATGCGTTTGTCTATTACTTCAGAGCCCATTCAGGCTGTTTCATTAAATACCATATGCTTTATATCCTTCATGGGACATGTTTAGCTGCTATTTAATTAGAGCCAGTGATGCTGCAGTGCAGTTAAAAGCTACATTAGCGTAGGAGATGGTGAATTTGAGTCATGTCTTGGCTGGCGGTGACTGTTGAGTCATAGTATTTGGAGAGCCCCCATAGCGTAGTGTTGATGCTAAGCTAATCCCCACTGAAAATCATTAAGGGGCTGAATTATTGATACTCAGCACCCATAGAGCACAAAGAAATGCTCGCTGCATCTCTATCATTTGCTGGCTTTTACTTTCTTTCATGAAGAGGTTTTTATAGTTTTGTTACTAAGTTTCTATGACTTATGATTTCTTCTTTTGACTTATTGGTCTGTGCTTGTTTTAAATGCATGAGGATGTGTTCAGTTGACCTCCATCTCTTGTATTGGTGCACCAAGGCAAGAGTGGAGACACATGTAATTATCATTGCATACTTCTTACCCAGGCAAGACCGTCTAATCAATAAGTCATTGAATAAAAAAGGTCATTTATTGATAGACCCTGGAATGAGCATCATCAATTATAGGAGTTCCTACCCTTCGGTCTTCACTCTGAGTCATGATTGATCAGCAGCTGCACTATATTAATAAGCTGGTGATAACTTCCATGCGGTGAGGTGGGACAGTAGAATGTCTGTCGCTTTACCTGCATATGATCCTCAGTACTCCCTACCCATACACACGCAGTTGGTATCCTAAAAGCCAGAAGGCATAGGTAATGTTTCTTAGAAGTATGTTCCTGTGATGTTGGAGGAGGGGCTGCATATGTGGAAATGGAGAAAGCATGATATTATCTGTACAGTGTCACTGGCAGATAATTGCTTAAAAATAGCCACATCAGGTTCAGAGATGCTCAGCGCTGATATGATAATGCATGAATTAGCTGATATTTCTGTGCACAAATTATTTTACCAGTAGTTAGGCATGAGGTCTTTCATAGGGGAGAGCTTGTTATTTTCATTTCATTTGTTATTGTTGAGATTTATGCTTAAATATTAAGCCAAAATATCAGTTTTAGTATCAGCCTTGACACGATGAAGAAATGTTGTTTTGAATTTACATGATTCAAATGCGGTTGCACATAATTAAAATGTGTTACATAGGCCAGTGCCCTCTGATGGCTAACCGAATTACCATGGTAACAGCTTCCAGTGACAGTAAAAAGTTGTCTCATTTATTTTATGCAACCCATAACAAGACATTAGTATTTTTACAGGTGAGCAGAACTGAACTTTTAAACATGTTGGGTGTTTTGGCGCTACATTACCACATTTATTGTACCTAACATAGATGAGACTGTGTTAGAGCTGTAGCTGTTGAGCTGAACAGGTGGAACTGCACTGGGGGTGGGGGGTGGGGGTGTACTGTGTGCTGTGGTGCCAGGTAGATATCATGCCTGAATGAAAAGATACACATTACAATGCAAATGTTTGGGCATCCTCAAACCACAGTGTCAGTTACACGCAAAAGACACATTTATAATTTATAATCTTTGTTTATCTCAAGTATAAAGAGGAGGTATAATGACCAAGAACTTCTCCAGTACAAGTTTGATAACACTAGAAAACACAAAGTCCCACTAGATACGTAGAATCCAACAAAACAACAGAAGCAAAGAAAGAAAGTCAGAGCACACCAACAAAATCTGTAGCTGCAGGTTTTGAAATGATGAAAAAAATGAAAAATGAAAGTCCAAAGTAACAGTAAAAAATGAAGGAATGTAATGTCTAGGATGATCAACCATTTTCTGTGGTCAAGGTTGTTGGATTTCACGACACCTACGGTAGCATATATACAGTAATCATTTTAGTAAGATAATTTTAGGTAAAATGCTTTTATTTATTGTCAGCTCAGTTTTGTCTTATTGAATGCAGATTTTATTAATAATAAAAGTGTATTTTCTTCACTGCATTGTAGTTTTTATGTTTAGTATATTTCTTCAAAAGCTCAGTTTCAGTTTTTGGCCAGGTGTGTCTTGAATTTCAGTTTGGGTTTCGGCCAGGAATTTTTGTTTTGGTGCATCACTACAAAAGGGCTTCAGGTCTTAGAAAACCACTGTGATATCTCAGCTTTCACACAGTAGAACTTCAGAGGAACCAACCTTGGACAAAAGAACAGCAGGCTGAGTGGCCACATACATCACAGCCTCAGACAAAACAGCCATGGGTCTGACATAAAATTACAGAAATAACATGTGTTGCTAATGTTGTTGTTATTATTATTATTATTATTATTATTATCATTATGTGTGCAAACACCTTGTGGAAATAACAAAAAAACGGTTACCAGACTAGGCTTGCAGAGAGTTACTGGCCCAGGCCTTGTGTCACATCAAAAGAAGTAAACTGAAAGACAGCAGTCGTGTTGACATGTATTATATTCATGTCCGACTCATCCAACCAGCTGAAACATTTGAATAATGTAAATTCAAAATTCCATGTTTTCCATGCATATATAGATCTTCTGAGTTTTCATCATGCTGCTCCCTATCAGAACTGATAAGTGAAGGTTATTACATCGCCTTTGCTGATGTTATTCTTAGCACTCCCCTCTTTTTCTATAAGCATGAACAGAGACCTTACAGGTATGGCTTTACCACT